AATAGCCCTTCTGGGCTAACGCCCTTTGGGCTAAAAAAACGATTAATTAGCTTCAGTTCGCAGTTTTCCCATTGGCTGTTAAAACGTTTCGGCATTGGCTGTCAAAAGGTTTTTGTTCCCTAACTGAAACAGTATTTGCTGAAGCGTTTATATAAGTGCCTACATCATTATAATATGTTACTTTAAAATACGCCCTTCAAGGTTATAGCGATCTTCCCCCTTTTTATTCTCGTAACGTGCGTCATTATCGCAACACGGAGGGAATAAGAGAATTTTAGCAAATTAGAGCTCTACCTTTTTTCCGCAACAGTTGTTACCGTGTTTTTGGAGAAGACATGTCCTTGAATTACCTATTTTAAAGTAACAGTCTCTAATGTTATGCAGGAATCATATAACATGGATTCATTTTGAAATGACGCAGTTTAGAAAGATTTGTTATAAGCAATTGCTATTTTCAGGACAGGAAGAGGAAATAACTAAATTAAAATAAAGAGTTAAGACAGTGTTGCAAATTAAAGTTAGACTTTTGAATTACATGATTTTTATATTATGTATGTAGAGAGAGACATTAGGATTTTTTTGGAGGCCGGAGAGATGAAAAATTAGCAACCGCCTTCGCCGGGAATCGAACCACGGACCTCTGGAATACCGGCCCAGCGTTCAGAACCACTACACCACGAAGGCACGCTAGGAAAGCGGGAGAAATACCTTATATACTCCGCTTTTTAAAGGGCGACTGGGTTCTTAGAGAACGTAATCGCCAAATCCTGGGTGTAGAGAATCCTCATCCAACACCCTTTTTTAGTTCAGCCGCCACTTTAGAGACATTAGGTTAATTGGAAGCAGGCAAGATGAAAAATTAGCAACGCCTTCGCCGGAAATCTAACCACGGACCTCTGGAATACCGGCCCAGTGTGCAGAACCACTACACCACGAAGGCAATCTAGTAAAGCGGGAGAAATACCTTATACATATATATACATAATAATAGAAGATTATTGTCCCAGTTGAGATTGACAATTTTTAAACACAAACAGTATTTGATGGTAAGTTCAATGATTAATAATTATTAAAAGGCTTACCTTGAATATACTTTGAATTATAGATTTATAGTTACCTAAAAACTATACACTGAATTATAGATTTATAATTACCTAAAAGCTATACACTGAATTATAGATTTATAGCTGCCTAAATTTAAAAACACTTTGATGCAAATAAATAACGACATAGAATAAGCAAGATTTAAAATTTATATGCATTAGTAGAATTTTTTTACGTGCTGACATTTTCATGAAAATACTGAATCCTTGGGTCGTTTGGTTTTTTACATCTGTTGCCACAAAAACAAAAACAAAAACAAAATTTAAAATATATACGGAGAAAAACTGGCACGAGGACAGAATCACTCATAGAGAAGAATAAAATAAGGCATAAAAACATTTCGAAATATCACAAACAGTTAAAATAGAATCATAGCAAGAATTATTAAAACATAAAATGTAAATGATATAAGATTTCAAGTAAACTAAAATAATGAAAAACTTTATGCCGCAATTTTGCTTATAAATGCTTCTGTAGTTCTAGAATTCGTAAACTAACAGTCAATTTGAAAAAATAAATAAATAAATATTTGCAGTTTTTAAAATGATCTTTTCATATGAAGAAAGTAGAGATAAAAATCTCGAATTCAAGAGCAGTTTTGCCGAGATTAGGAACTAACAAAAACAATCCTTGGGGAATCTATAACAAACATGACCTTTAGCATAATGCTACGATAATGTGAAAAGAAACTTGCGAGAACATCAGTACAATTTTTTTTAATGAATTTCGTAAAATATTTACGGATAATTCTTTTCTCCACACGAAATTACTTCACTATTCTCATTTGACAAAATTTTACTGATCATAGAGCACATGCATTCATGGAATTCATTTTAGTTTAGTAGGCGAATCATTTATTATTTCATGGAATAAACTAAGAAGCTTAATTTGAACAATTACTACATAGTAAAGGCTTAATATTTTCTTTTTAGTTACTTAAAATGATTTAAAACTCATATTTAGGCTAAACTATAAAAAATTGAATGAGAAACAGAATATCAACATAATCTGGTTAATACAGAACAAATGATTTGTTATGATAAAATGCGTTTTAAGTTCATAGTGACAATAATATGAAAGTAATTCCCTAAATTTTAATATCCAGTTTATTTCTCGCTATATTTGAGGGCAAAATTAAAATGGCTCATTATGATATGGTTTCCAAAAGAAGTGCGTTTATATCATAAGGTTCTGAACAACAAGAACACCTTTCAGTTAAAAAATGAAATAAGGAAAGAAATTTAACATTATTTTAATTTCTTATGATAAATGTGTATTTTTGTCTTTATGAAACGCTTTGAAAAGTCTAAAATATTCTTTTGCTGATCGCTCCGTTTAGTCTCTTCAAGACATACAAAACTCAATTATAAGTGCATTCATTATAAGTTGCAGATAATTGTTTCTAACTGCAGATGAATCAAATAAAATTTTAAAAAGAGAACGTTCTGGACAAAGTATTGCAGTAAGAGAAATAATTTTATGAAGATTAACATATTTATGATATGAAAGTCTACTTACTCAATTAAAATCTTGACCGCTATTTTCTGTCCATTTTACATAAGCCAATCGATACAGCATTAACTTGATGGCTTTTTCATTGAACTTTAACTGTAGATACTTTTTGTTCTACTGCAAATGATATATCGTCTGCTAAGTAAAACTGCTACTAAGATTTTACACAATAAAACTTCTTTTAGAAAAAACAGCATTTTTTTTGATTAATTGGTTTATTATACATTGATATCACACTAAAATACAAGTTTTTATATGTTTTCTGATTTTTTTGGATTAATCTGCATAACTTTATGAACATGCACAACAAATCCGAATGAAGTTACTACTATAGTATATATTTCATATAGAGATGATTCTGAAAAATTTTGCGACATACTGGTAGGGTGTAAATTGATATTTCGCCTCAAGAAAAGAAAATAAGGTAAATGTTCGAAATACTGGTAGATCGATATCGCTTCTCAGGACAAACAAAGTGATTTTTCCACACCAGAGATTAAGATATAACTTTAACTAAACACACTTTCAGCCGAATTATCTAGCACGTAACGACCTAGCTTACACTGTCATTTGAAACTTGTCAAAAAACTCACCAAATTAACAATAACTTGAGCAAAAACTTAGTAAAAATAACTAAAATATAGTTACCACTACTAAAAATTTAACAAATTTGAAATAAATTACAACACATAAAGAGCTTTACTAAAGTAGCTAATAAAGTTAAGTTTTCAGACCTACCAGACAACTAGAAAACAAGTACTGTAAAAGAAATTCAAATCTCACCAAAACCTCCCCCCCCCAAGAAAAAAACCGCCGTCAGTAACAGCGCAGCCAGGTAATTTTTTACTAACGAGCAAATTATTCAGACCATAAGCAATCCACAGTAATCAAAAAGTTGCAGTTCAGAATGGACAAAATTTGCGTAACCGAAAAGTGCAAGAACTAAAAATTAACTATTAGCAAATGAACATAATTATCAAAAAGTTAGGTTATTTTTTAAAGCTAAAAGAGTTAGATAGGATGCCATCTGCCTTACATAGGATGCTTCCATAGCGGACGTCTAAAGAGAGTTGTATTTATATTACCACTTTGCAAAAACCTCGAAAACGTTTCATAGCCGGTTTTCTCAGTCGCTGGAACGAGAAATCTAGGCGAACTACCAAAGCTCCTACAACTTATCCACCCACCCATTGACTGGCCGTTCAAATTAAAGAATTGATGAAAGAAATATAGCTTCTACTATAGGCATATAAAAATACAGCTGCAGAGGGGTATTTAACTACTACACCTCCATAACTTAAGTCCTTCCTTATCCTTCAATTTATTTTAAAAATCAATTTATGAAGCAAATTTCGACTTCCTTTTTTAAAATACCTTGAAGAAAAATCTTTCTAAAGTGTTTCTCGCTTTCAGATTGTGATTAAATCAAGTCCACGATACATAAAAAGATGTTTCCAGTCGATTATTAGTAGCTTAATAGTAAATTAAAATATTATAGTAAAATAGCAGATCTTAAGATTTGTTAATTTACTTCAATATTCCAAAGTACTACGTTGCTCAATACAGTAAGTTAAATCATTTCAATATTTTTAATCACGTTTAATTTTTTATCATAAGTCTCATAAATGAAATAGGTTTTTAACGCTTTAAAATGGGACAATTGCTAAATTTCTAAACCCTCTGCTTGTATATGTTGTTGCTCGCATTAGAGGCTACAGTGAAATTTAGTAGCAACATTTAGACAATAGTTTATATATTTCATTTTTAATTTTATTCAAACAGTAACAATCTTTTAGTATTTTGATTTTGAAAACAGTATGTTTCGATAGAAAAATCTTTCTTCGATTTATTTGACATCTTCAGGAATTTTTACTTTAAATTCAAAGGCCATAAAATTTCCGCAGCATATGCTACAAAGTAAGTTAAACCAGTTGAGAAAAGGAATTTATTGAATGTACTTGTAAAATCTTTACTCTAGCTTCCTATCTTTAAATAAGAAACTGGAGGCTTTATCTATAAGTACCATATATATTAGCTTATTTTACTTGTGAAAAATTAAATTACCGACTGCTAAAAAAATAAAATATCCAATTTTAAAACGTCTAAATTTTCAAAACATACAGCTGCAGCTGACATCATAAAAAATGTAAAACCGTAAAGTGAAGGTAGGAAATAATTATACTCAGCAGAAACAAAAAAGTCTGCGTTAATTTAAGCTTAAAACAATGACGCAAACTTCCGCAAAATGCACTTCCGATTTGAAAACATTTAAAGCTGAAACTAAGAAAGATCGAAAAGGATAAGCATCCTTTTTTTCTTTTCCCTACGCGCTTGTTACAGGGAAGATAAAAGAAACGGAGGGAAGAATCTGAGAAGAAGGGGAAAACGCGAAAAAGAATCGTCTCAGTAAGAACTTGAGTCGCGCTAAGTGAGGTTGTGCTTACGGGTTTCCCCCAATGCAGTAATTTTTCTTGCAAGATTTCATTGCTTTAGAAGCGTGGCTGTTTCTTATAATCAGTTTCATCGCCATGGAGAATGATATACAAGATTTTCACCGAGCAGTTAAAGACAATGATGTGGAAAAAGTTCAGAAATTATTACATAAAGGAATAGATCCAAATGAACCAAACTGGAATAACAACGGAAGACCTGCTATTCTAGAAGCAACTTACTACGGACATATAAATATCGTGAAGGTTTTACTGGAAGCTAATGCTGATCCTAATGCCCAGAATATGCTTGGAGAAACTGCTTTACATAATGCTTTTCATCCTAAAACATATTCTAAAGAACTAGTTACCTTGTTGCTGGAGCACGGTGGCGATGTAAATTTAAAGGAGAAATTAAATGGTTATACAGTTGTGCATGTTGCTGCTAAATTAATTTCGTCGAAAGTGAGCAAAACATTAAAACGAGACCTCTTAGATACACTTCAAATGTTGTGCAAAAATGCAGATGTAAAACTCCGAAGTGCACGTCAGGAAACACCAATGCATAAACTTGTAACTGGAAGTGTTGATTGGTGCGAACCTTTGCAGATATTAATTGAACATGATTTTGAACTAAATGCTCAAAACGATCGAGGGGAAACTAGTCTCATGTGCGCAATAGATAAAGGTCACTGCAATATGGCTGAAATGTTGATCAAGAAAGGAGCGTGTGTCAATATTAAGGATAGGCATTTTCAAACGGCTTTGCATCATTGTGCGCAAAAGAATCTGTTGCGAATGGTCACATTGTTGTTGAACGCTCAGTGCGATGTAAATGCGACAGATCTTAACGGAGATACTGCTCTCCATATCGCATCCAGCAAAGGATTGGCGGACATGGTTCAGGTTCTCGTCTCGCATCCCGAGACTGACGTAAATATACAAAATATACGCGGATCAACGCCACTTCTCAATGCAGTGGAGAGTGGATTTACCAAATCAGTGGAATTATTAGTAGACGCTTGTTGTGATGCTGACTGCGAAAAGGGCTTGCTGACGGCTTTGGACATGGCAGAGGAAGATTTCGTACGCCGTTGGCATCCGGAGATCTACTCTTTGCTTCAAGAAGCTTTAGAGCAAAAACGAGATTTATGGGATGAAGGTGAAACATCGTTATGAAATATTTAGAAATAAGTATGTACTTAACTAATTACGAAAAATGAACGTATTACATTCAATGAACAATTCAAAACTTCTATATGCATTTTCTGCTTGAAAATCATTTTTTGTAATATCAGATTAATGATGAATGAATCATAAAAATTATATAATTTATGTGTGATGAAAAATACTGCAGAGTATATTTAATTGGAAGAGAAATTAAAAATAAATTAGAATACTATCTGTGATTCTAATTCATAAAATCAAAATATAACTTACAATTCTCAAGAAGCAAATGATTTAAGCAATATTATTTAGTTAATCAATATTTAACGAATAAGTTATTTTCTATGTGAATGAAACTGAAATATTCATGTGTTACCTTTTTCTGTACAGCATATTAACATATTAGAAAATCTTAAGCTATCAGCAATAGTTTGATTACCTCTTTTACACTGCTCTATTCTCTAAATTAGTTTTGTATAAACATAATTCTTAATTCAGTTTTGCATCTCTCTCATGCTAGTTGGTAAATATTCTGATGTCTAATAAGCAGCAGTAATTTCTATTAATTAATGAATATGACTAGTTAATGATAAAATAAATTAAGAGAAATACTTTTCATTTAATGCAATTAATTTCACTTGTGTTATATTTCAAGTATTTTAACAAATACAAAATTATTGTTATAAGTTAGCATTTTTTCTAGACATTTGAAATGTGGAATAGAACTTTTGGATATTTTTCTTAAGCATGACTTTTACCATTTTTATCAAAATACATTAAAACTGCTTACAAAGTAGTAAATAAATTTGTTAGTTTAAAAATCTCATATCTTAAGTTTATTTTCAAAGATTAATACTTAACATATCATTAATAAGTTATTTATATTTGAATAAATCCAGTAGATATTTCTGTGCACAAGTGAGTGTTTATAATATATCTATCAATACATATATTGGAAACTTATGCTTTGTTTCTGCAGTTACATAAGATGCACATTCTAATTTCTTTTCAATATTTTAAGGCTCTGGAGGACTATAAAAAATTACACATATTTATCATGCTAACATTGATAACACTAAGAACTGAATGTAAATTTTTAATGCATCTAAACCCATTTGGAAGCAGAAATACAATACTAAAAAAAGTAAAATTTTAAACAAATAGAATAAACTAGTGTTCTGTGTACTAACTATCAGTATTCTGCATTTATTTCAATTATATAACTTTTACAAATGACAACAGTCTTTAATCCCTTTTAATCATATTTAGATGTTAAGTCAATGAATAATTAAGTTGCTTCTAAAATGTATTGTAACTCTGTTATTTTAAAAACATATTTAATTGCACAGAACATCTATATATTGTATAAACTGCAATTTTGTTTAATTAACATATAAATTTTAATACACCCAATTAACTAAATTCAAGTAATTAGTAATCTCTTTTTTTTCCTCTGGATAAACATTTCATACATAAAAATATTAAGGGATCATAAATTTGGAAAGCTGATTATTGTATGTCTGTTACATTAGTAAATATTAAAATGTAATTTCAGAGGGTTTTATTTTTTAATACTCAAATAAGATACTTGTAGTTTTGATATTTCAGGATCATTAACGAAAGCATTATACTATAAAAAAATATAACATTTACTTCCATAAATGCTCATGCATTGCCAAAATTTACTCATTTTTCTTAAAAAGTGATTTTTTCCCTCAAAGAATTGTGATCAAATTCTATATAAAAATGGATGAATTTTTTAAAAAATAAAATAACAGTTAAAAAATGCAATTGATTGCAAAGCATACCCGTTAATTTCAGGATTATAAATGAAAATCATTCTAAGAAAATTAAGTACTTTAAAAAAAAATTTGCAATTCTGTGGCACCACTGATTTTAAGATTCACTCCATTTTTAGGGGGAGAAAAAATCAATATGTGAAAAACTGTGACTTAGAATCGAAGAAATGTATTAAGATTCTGCCATATATTATATAAAATTGTTTAATTACAGTGCATATTAAATTATTTCAGTCATTAAGTATATAAAGTTTATGAAAAAACTTATTTAAATGTAACAGGTGAAATATTAATAACAAAAGGAACTGATATTTAATTAAGATTTCTTAAAACAGAGATTAGAACGTTTAACATCTTTTACTCTAGAGGAAAACGAATGATAATTTAAAATAAACAACAGTAAAGATATTAAGATATTTTAAAGATTTATTCTAAGAACACAAGCTGCATACAAATTACAACTGGTCCTTAATGTGGTCAAATCAACACCACAGTTAAAATTACAATCATTTCACAGTATAAATTTCGAAACTGATTGCTTCTTCAGAAATATGTAAAAGCTTCATAGTTTCTAAGAAGCAAAATTAGTCTTTAGATCACATGAGTTTATAATGCATTCACAGATTTCTTTTGGTTGTGTAGTCGAAAATGCTTGCATAATAAAACGCATTGTGCAAGATTTGGTGTCAGTATAAATATTTTCAGAACCAATATTTCACATATTTCCATATCAATATTTACAAAACATAAAAAAGATCAAATCCACAACCCTGATAAATAAAATACTCATTCTTCAATTATCTTCTAACAATCTGATAGACTAGGTTACAAAAAGGGAAATATAACAACACAGCACATTAAGTACAACATTATGTAGTGATTAAAAGTACCAGTACAATTAAAGCATACAACATTATCAGGTTTTAATATAAAATACTCCTCATTTCTGCTAAATAACTTCCCAAATCAAAAATGTAAAATAAATTATTTCAAAATATGATAACAAATGCCACAGAAGTTTAAGCTCTGTTCAAGTAGTAGAAATGCAGTATAAGAGTACATGAAAGTAATACAGCAAATTTAATATGAGAACAACTATGAGTTTTAAACTCAAAAATATGCTTAAATATTAAAATGCTAAGATACCCCAATTGAAGAGATCATATTGTAATTCAGAAAACCATATTACAAGCTTCATATTTTTAAGATTATTATTTATGACAACAGGAAACGTAAATGTGTTACAAAATAATAATAACGAACTTGCATAAAGTGAAAATAGGCTTTGTCAGTTTATGAAATTCAAAATTTGCACCCAGTGAACTACAAAATCCTTTATAAAATAAATGAAATGTAACAAAATTGGAATGTGACAGAATGTTCAAATTATAAAAATAACCAAAAAAAAAAAAAAAGTGAACTAAAGGGGGATGATGTTTCAATAAAAATTAACCTATAAAAATGAATACAAAATTAAGTGTGATTAGAGAGATCAATTCACAGCGATAAACAATATTTGCAGTACTTAAAAATATTCAAACTAATGACATATATTTCCAAAAATAAAAACTTCATTTAAATTAAAATCCTAAGTGATTAAAATAGTCAATTATAAAGAGTATTTTATACCTTGAGCTTTTAGTATTACCCAATTATTTCAAAGCACTCGAAATAATACTGAAATCCATAAAATAAATTACCGAATCTACATTTGAACCACATAAAGCATGCGTATAAATAAATTGCACAAACATTCCAAATAACATCTATTCTATTTTTAATACAAAACATTCATACTAAAGATTTAAAAAATTGCAAGTACACTTTTACTGTAAGACACAAATGGACATTTAATTCTAATACATAATCTAATACAAAAAGATATGTTCATTTTAAGGCCATCCACATGAATTTAATCAGGCATAATCAATTTCATCACGGAAGCCCAATTTCTCTTAGAAATTAGCAGCTAAATAAGTATTTGCATATTAATAGTACCAGGACTTATGTGATAAGCAAAACATGTTACATCAAAGTTTTATGGCTACAAATATTAGCCAGACACAATATACATAATTTCTTGCAAAAAACTTAAAAAAATCTTTTGATATAGCTACTCCCCCCCCCTTATGTATTTTTTTGCCCATACTGTATATTGTAATGCTCATTAATATGTTCTTTTCATTTTCTACCTCAGTGGAAAAAAATTATTTGAAAACCAGCAACTACTTTTATGTAAAAATCTTTTTATATGTATGCAGAAATATAGTACTGAAATTTAAAGATTTTTAAAAATGGAAAGAAATATATATATATATATATATATATATATATAATATTTGGCACTAAATCATCTTTTATAATTACACTAATAGTGTAAATACTTATAATATCAAGCAGATATATTATATCAAACTTAACAATAATGTATATGCTTTTATATATCATTAAGAAATAAAATTTTAAAAATATTAAAAAGTACATGCATTAATTTCAAATTTGTCCCTTTTATTCTTTACAATGAAACTGAACTTTTATAATTTGAAAGATAAATAAATATCTTCTCTTAAAAGACTGGGCATTAGCTAGAGAATTAGCATTTGCAATTGCTTAGTAGGAGATAAATGCTATGGCAGAATAACATATTTGACACAAGATAAAAACTGAATTATAGACTTTTTAAATGTTAATAAACTAATAATTATGTCTTCTGAAACTGATAGCAATATAAAAGTATAATGTAATATAATCATCTAAAGGGTAGATGAAAGAAAGTTATTAGATATTTATTCTTTAAAATTTTTAGATCAATAAATTAATATATATACTATATATCTACAAGATTATTTACATGAAATGAATTCCTTATAATTACAGAATATATTCTGTATATTGTTATGAAATCTAGAAATAAATAATATGCTAAAAATCTATGTACAAAGATGTGCGACTAACCATAGTTTATATTTAACTAAACTTGTACCCAATTTTTATTTGCTTTAAGTATATTTTTATCAATTCAGTTTCTAGAACCTCCCCCTCCTCAGTTAAATGTTTGGACTTTTCTTCCTTAACCTCTATACAAAAAATGAGAATAAGACACAATATTTATTGAGTCTTTTTTGAAAATGACTGCATATAAATGAGACTGAACATGCAATCATAGAATGGTTAAGGAAGTATGAATTAAATGCATATTTCAAAAATTATGCATCACTTCTGAAAGAATTTTATAACAACATACATATTTATTTCTTGTCACTTCAAATTGCTAAAAGTAAAAAAAAGTCTATTTGTAATTCATTTTCTTTGGACTAATAAGCAAAATTTGAATTTTTCAAGAAAGGAAAGCGAGAATGATAAATAAAGGAGCGATAATGAATTCCCCTACCCAAGAGAACTTATATATACACTAATAATTACATTACATTCTTTTATTCCATTAATGGTACAGTTTCACAAATGATGCATTTTATGAAATTAAACATTTTTAAGCACTTAACATCCCTTACTTTGTAACTATATTTCCATAAATCTCTGAAAATCATGTATGAAACACTTAAAATTTTTATGAGGCCTTTTGAATAAAATCAACTTTTTGAACATTTCAAAATTCTAACTCTGCCCTCCTCAAAAAATATTATTATACAACTCACCATACCTTAGAACCGTGTGTTCCACTCCATGGCCTTCTTATTAATTTGGTTAGGGACTCGCCCTTCTTGCCAGATGAAAAATATTTATTAAACATTTGAAAAACTTTGTATACCCTTCTTACTGCTTTAAATAACAATAAACACAATAAATTGTATTTGTGAAAAATAGGCCATGTCAGACAGTTGCTAGGATGCAAATTAGCTGGTAATTTCAATAAAATCCAAAGAAATGCAATCAGCAGTGTTAACAACAGCAATTCAAGACAAAATGATCAATACTAAACATAATTTTCTTCCTGCTGCTTTGCAGGGCATACAAAAAAGCAGATTTTGCAGGAACCACTGACAATGGCAATGCTGCCAATCAGATGGCAGTTTCTTCCATTCCCAGAGATGGCAGCATCTTACAATCTTTTTCTCCTATAACGGCAACCTTGATAAAAAGCTTCACTCTACAACCATTATAATCCATAGCATGCATGCTTTGATTTTCACTTTCATCCAATACTATCTAAAATGGCAGAACTAACTTGAAGATGAGAAATGACAATTTCAGTTCAAGTAGCAGAAAAATTTTTTTTTTTTTTTTTTTTTTTTTTTTTTTTTTTTTTAAAGCTAAAGAAAAACCACAGTGTGTTAGCCATTCTCAAATCTTAAGTGTTTCAAAGGAGTATAATGTAAGTAGACACTATAACAGTTTGCATTAATCAAAATACAACCGACACCTGGAAAGTGCCAGCAGTTGTATATTTAATGATTTGAAGATAAAACTAACTAGTAGATAAATATGTTTCAGTGCTGGTTTGAAGGCATCTTATGAAGTATGTTTAGAGCTAACTAAAAATAAAAAGTCTTTTAGGGATGGTGAGTTCATTAAAAGTAATGCTGCAATAATGGCATCTTCATTCGGAGATTACAGGTTAGATAAAAATTTTGAAACAGTGTCCTTGTCTGATGAGACAAAAAGGAGAATTAATGAAATGGGTAGAGAAGTTTTAGGTACTCACAAAGGCATTTTGGAAAAATTTGGATCTTACACTCTAGCTCTAGATGAGAGTACAGATATAGCTGACATCAACTATCTACTTACCTTTGTAAAACAATAAAGGAAGAAATTGAAATTCATGAATAATTTAAATTGTTAGAAACCAACACCAAAGGTAATGACATATTCAACACACTGGATAACGTTATTTCTAAATATAGAGATTTGGGGAAATGCTCTGGCACTGCAACAGATGGAGCTAAAGCTATAATTGGTCATAGAACTGGGTTAATAACCAGAAAGAATTTTGTGAAAAATTATAAGTCAATCAGTGAAAACTGTTGTTAAATGCTGTAAATTTAATAAGGGGAGACAATAAAAACCCAGAGACACACAGCATTTATTGCATTCCAGGAAAGTCTGAAAGCTGAGTATGGCAGCTTCCAAATGATGACCTTTCACTGTACTATGAGATGTGCTGGCTAAGTGCTGGAAATTGCTTGCAACAGTTTTTTTTGGGTTGAGGGATGAAATTCCTGCATTTCTCAACAAAGAAAACATTCGACATGAGTATTAAAAAAAACTGGAAGAAATCCAGTCTTTAAATAATCTTGCTTTCCTGACAGATTTAACATTCCATTTAGATATTTTAAACCTGAAACTTTAAGGAAGAAAACAGAATATATCCCAGCTTTATGGACATATCGATGGCTTCTGCAAAAACTTGATGTAATGCAAATTCCTCTAAGGGAAATAACACAGCTGAGTTAAACAACATCAAGAAAGAATTCCAGGACAGATTCCAGGATTTTCACTCCTCAAAACTAAAACTTGCATTGTTAAATAATACCACAGAAACTGAAGCAAGTGAGGTGCCCTGCAACCTTCAATTGGAAATCTGTGATCTTCAGGCAGACCCATTCTACCAGACTAAAAAGTGTGATGTCCTTGAACATTTCTGGAAACTGTTTTCTAAAAAACATTTCCCCAAATTGCTGAAATTCTTTCTACAAATGTTATCGCTTTTTGGCAGTACAT